AAAAATGGCCACAGACCACATGTCAGGGGCGGAAAAATGGCCGCGGACCACGTGTCAGGGGCGGAAAAATGGCCGCGGACTGTGTCACGGGAGGGAAAATGGCCGCGTATCCTGTTCATACCCCAAGGCGGAGTTTGCAAACCGAGGTAAATTTTTGCAGCCGGAGCTGGTCATAACCCGAAAACTTCGTTAACAGAGGCGTTCGTAACCCGAGGTACCACTGTACCTATGTGTTTGGGCTGCTTTAAAAGTAGCAATTTATCATTGAACGCATACTTCTATTTTTAGCCTGGAATAAGGTTAACATGGTTAATTTCAAGAATAGCCTCCCAAAAGACAAAGCAGTTCAAACTCAGTACCAGCCATATATATAGAACGAAGTACTTAAGAACAGCTCATTGTGGATCAACATACTAATGGACACAACATGCTGGCTGTTGTTGTGGGAGGAGGAGTAGAAAAAAAAAGTTGGGAAAAAAGAACAGAGGAATGGAAAAGGTATGACTGGTTGCCTGATAGCCTGAACACGAGTACTCCACGTTTAAATATTAGTAACAGCAAGCCAGCTTCTAGTCTACAAGAACAGGAGCAAAGATAATTGTTTTTCTCTTTCTACCTTACTTTGGAACACTAAAACTTACCTGCTGTAATTTCCTAAAGAAACTAATAAAGACATCACTCTTTGTCACACTTGGATCAACGGAAACTGCAATAGAAAAAATTGCAATAGGATAGAAAATATATCTTAAAATATTCCACAGATGGTCAAGATAGACACAGAGGAAAAATTGTGCATACATTTACTAACCAATGGAATCAGAAAAGATTATCATACATCCTAAAATCTTGATGATCATGGAGAAGATCTATCTATGTGGTCGCTACGAATCGAAAACAACTTGATGGCACATAATCAAAGTTTTGATGAAGGCATATAGCTCAAAGGAAGTTTAAGATTTTCATAAACAAAGTGTTTTCTTCTGTTTCCTATAGATTAATGCTTAATTTCAAGGGAGCAGATTCAGTTTAGAACATTTGTACAAGGTGAGTTCTCTGCTCCTTTTTCCAGACTGTAGCTTCTTCTGAGGTCAGAACTTCCACTCCATCCATCACTGGATTTCCCATTCTACCACAGCATTTTCTGAGAGTCCCAAAACCTCATGAAAGACTGCATCGAGCTGCAGTAGAAAGGAGGTGGGGCAGAATTCCTGGTCCTTAAGAACTGCAGTAGCTGCCACCCTTTATATCTGCTGATAATTGCCTTTAAAGTCCAAGTCACTTAAGAAAACATCTTTTTCTGCACAATCCCCTTCAACCATTTCTAGTTCTATGAAATCATAGCAAGCACAAATTTAATATTTGTTTCAACACTCATTAAAAGCCATATGCCAAAGTAGTATTCAATATACCATTCTGTAGATATTGTTCTAGCTGAGTTCTCCTTTCATCAGCCATTGACTTTGTCATTGCAAGGTAGAATTTTGGAGGAAACAAAGGCATTCCTTTTCCAAAGACTCGTCTTAGCTGAAAAGATAAATCATCTTTGAATGGTAGTAACCTGTTACCAAACATCAAATAAATATTTTCTACTTGAAGATGTTCATTCATAAATTCCCAAATATTACTTTCTTTAAGGATGTTGGCATAAGGCCTGCTCTTATGTTCTTTAACATTTGATCTGATGTCCTAGCAAAGCAGCCAGTAGATTTGTAACGCCTTTAATGATACTACCTATCTGACATTGTGGAAACGTCATGAATTGGAACAGAATATTTTGATGATACAGCAGCACACAAAAGAAAAAAACACTAATGCCATTTGTGACACCATACACAGACTACATAGCAGAAAAATGTACTGTATGTGGATATTTTGGGGAGCATAGATGGAGCAGAATAAAACACCTGAACTGCGTGTAATTTTTGAGAAAAGTCTCAGTTTATAAAAGGAATAACAAATACTATCAGGATGAGGTATAGCAATTAAAACTTACCAAGGTATAAAACAAAAAGACAAAACTATTTTCTATTTATTAGGAAGATAATAATTCGGGAGCAAGTCTATATTGTTGTGGGCCTTATATACACCCAGCGGTGTAATTACTATGTGCCCTCACTGAATAATACTCATTTTATTCTTCTCTCTCTCTCTCTCCCTTGCACAATTGTTCAGTTTTAAGAGATCTGAGGTAGGGGGTCTTTGGTGGAGGGGGTCAAGAAAGTCAACATAGTGGCCATTACCATGCAATTGAAGTCCGAGTCCTTTTTACACGTGGCTGACTGTATGAAAAGAAGGGTGAGTCTTTCATTGCATAGTCACAAGTGCAATTTTAACTTTTTTGATCCCCTCGATGGATACACAATTTGCTGGAAGGACAAATAAACCTTTCTCTCTATATGTGGTATTCTTACTTCCATAGTATCATTGGAATAATTCAAGCTTCAAGGAAACAGGCATCATTTATGCTAAAGACATGTTTTCTGAACATAGTTTTGATATTTCATGGTCTTTACTTCTTTCACTAGAAAGCTCCAGTTCTGAAAATATGCTGAGGGAATATTGTCCAAAGATGAGAAGGGAGAGTCTCTACTGATGTGTGTATGCCTGTGCACACATGCAAGGTTTCACGCAGCAATACACTGTTAACACATAGATCAGTGTTTCTCAACCTTGGTAACTCTAAGAGGTATGGACTTCACACAGCTGGCTGGGGAATTCTGGGAGTTGAAGTCTACACATCTTAGAATTGCTAAGGTTGAAAAACACTGATGCAGATGATTTCTTTCATGTACGTACAAAGCTAGAAAGATGTCAAAGTTGCAGCAAAATTTAAGCCTGAACTATGACAATGACCACATCCAAACAAACAATCCATCAGTGTTGTAGAAGGCACCATTGCCCTGTGAAAAATACCTTGTGGAAGGCTCTCTGGCAGAAAAATGGGGAGGGGGGGGGAAGCAGTGGTTGGACAGGCGGAAAAAAAAGAAGGGGAATGAGTTCTTCATCTTACCTGCTCATTCCAGCGGTGCAACTGACTGTACCGTAACTTGCAGAAAAGGAAGCCCTCCAGATATACAGAGTACAACTGAAAATACACAGCCTCCAAATAAATCCTTTTAAGACTGTTAAGGGAACTCACCATTTCCCATCAGCTGCACTCAGCCTTGCGTTCCTACTGCCCAAGAATGGGGAGCCTCATTCCCGTGGGCCTAAATTCGCCCTGGCATCCCACAAATCAGGATGCTAGGCATGTACAAAAGGGTGGATTGCATGGTTGAGGGCACCATCTTGACTTTTTGGAGCCCCCTCTGTGGATACTCTTGCACGCGGACTTGGCATAGCTTGGCCTGCTCCTATTGAGGAGGACGGGCCCTTTAGACTAGATCAGGCTTTCTCAACCTTAGCAGCTTTAGGATGGGTGGACTTCAACGCTCAGAATTCTGGGCATTGAGGTCCACTCATCTTAAAGTGGCCAAGGTTGAGAAACACTGGACTAGATCTTTACCATTCCAGAAAAGGTACCCATTATTTCAGGTATCAGCCTGGAATATAAATGTTAAACTATATCCCACCCTGCCAAACAAACGAACAAAAAAGCTTGTGAATTTTCACAGATCACTTAGAAGGAGTGTCACAAGCACCGTACAAGGACACTTGTCTTTTCTCTTTTTGTTCCGACACTTCCCTTGCAATTTTTAGTACCTATTTGAGTGTTCATTCCAATTTCTGTTGTAAACTTGCTGATAAATGTAATTTCCTCAGCAGCCTTAACACTGGCCAAGTTGGTGAAGTTACAAATCCAGTCCAATCCAATCAATACTACCGTTCCCTCCTTTCCCTTTCTCGCCCACCCCCTTCCCTCTCGGAAGCTCCTTCTCGGTCTTCCCCCTTTCTCCCCTCCCTC